TATACATTTATTTATATATAAATATAATTTATTTGTATATTATTATTGAAAAATTCTAGTAACTTAGTGGGTGGAGTATCGACCTCCAATTCTAAGGTATCGAGTTTGAATCTTGTCATTGACAATAATCTGATAATAATTCAAACTTCAAAAAACATAAATAATTAACTTTATTATCGATTTAGCGACCAAAATTATTGGTTGTTATTTTTGCGACCGATTTAATAATATTAATTTCGAGTTGTTAATTTGTTATCTAAGGACTAAGTGGCCAAATTATTTAGCGACCACCTTATCGGTCACTATTTTGCGATCGAAATTAAAATCAATCACTAACACATTAGCGACTTGACCTTTTGCGACGATGCATTTCGGTTGCTAACTGATTAGCAACTGATTTTTTTACATTAGCGACCGATTTTTTTGGTCGTTAAAACTATTTTTTCTTGTAGTGTAAATTCATATTATTGAAAAAAAAAACCCTCATATTTTATCATATTTTGATACTTTTCAATGTTAAAAATAATCTTCCCTTATAATATGCTCTTGCTCAATAAGATTTTTGAGGTACTATTCTTTTACATTAGTGCAAATATTATTAATATTAAAAGTTTTGTACAAATCCATGGGGATTAAGATAGAACAAAACAGAGCTTATTGTAATGCTCTATTGTAATATGAACTTTTTGGTGAGGGAGAGTGACTTTACCATTCTATACAAGAATGATTAAATTAATGTCACATTTCTTAACAACTTATGATCATTTTTTTTCTCAAAAGTTTTGAATAAGTGTTTTTGTTGTAAGGCTTGACAAAGAACCCTATTATCCCATAACCTCTTAGAAAAAACACAAAAATCAAGTAAGGTTAAGTTATTTTAAGAATTAACATAATTTCATGTTAGGAATAAAATAATCATTAACGATAATAATTGGTGAACCAGAACAAGTTATACTACACCTGTTGAGCTACAAATAGAAGAGATTAATGTGATCACGAATTCTTAACTTTTTAAACATGTCATTTTGATTTATCCTTTTACTAATTTCAATCTCATAAATTTCTCAACCATTAGTGTAATTTTGTTCTAAATTGGTAGTTTGTAACTCATTGTGATTTTTGCTAGAAAAACTAATAATTTTAATTAAAAATGTCAAATTTAAAATAATTGATGAATTGAAATGACTTCTCTTAATGCATACCGCTGAGAAAAACAATTAATGTAATATACATAATGATAATAATTTAAAAGTAGTGTTTATAAATCATTGTATTCTCCTCTAATATTGCTAGTATCATTACACTCTTAGTCAAGAATATTTAAAATATTAAGATTATATCGAGAAAGTATATAAACAATTCGTTCTTAAAAGTTAATGTCATGGTGTCTTTAACATACATAATATCAAAAGATCTATACAATCACTTTCATTAACAAATCTCAAAATAAAAGTGATTTGTTCCTTATCATGAACTTTATAAATAAATATACAAAATTTGTCATCATTTTCCTCACTAATATTATTTTTCACCTTATTAGAAAAAATAGGCAAAATTTCTTTTTGAACTTGATGTGAAATATATTTTTGGAATTATAAGAGTATTTCAAATATGAGTGTAGTTACTTCATCATTGCATGAGTTAATATTTTTATCATCTAAATAAACCTTTATTTCTTTATTCACTTGTTTCATCAATCATCCATAAAGGCACAAGTTTGAAGTGTTAAATGAAAGGTATCAATTGGAGTATTGAGACATGGTCGATTCTTCATGATTTAAACTAAGTTTCACACATAATAAGTAACATTTTTTATATGTCCATATTGATTCATTAAGTCTTGGTAAACCCTTACTCTATTACTAGTGCTGAGCAAGGACATTTTCTAATGTAATTAATAAAAATACATTTTTTTATTATTAAATTTCCTCTCATTTCTAAAACTTTGTAGCAATGCAAACATCTAAGCCAAAGCTCTCACTTAGCCTTTTCTTGAAAAGATAACAAGGTTAACAATGTGGAGCATCTTGTAAAGGAAATACTCGGACCATGAAGGAAAAATACTAAACCAAGTGTACTAAAATAGTATTGGATGATCATCTTTGCCAAATAATGGATAATGATCTACATGTACTTGATATGCACACCATTTTAAATAAGTTATTCAAATTTTATTCACTTTATTTAATGGATATTTCTAAATTTGAAAGCATTTTCAATTATTTTTTCTAAAGAATTATCAAAGTTATAACCTTAACATAACTCTTATCATCATTCCCTTTGAGTATTGGGTTTTCAAAACACTTTTTCATCTCTAAACAACTTGAAAGTGATAATTATTATTTTATAGGTTTTTCTCTTAAAAAATAAATTCTTTTTATAGGTACGTCAGGTACTTATTCACGATACCAATAATTTGTGCCATCAGGTCTTGTGCATACCATAACATATACCAAACTCCCTATTGCACTTGCATAAGGATTATGAGCAGTGTATTCCTTCTCTAATTTTGAATGAGTAGTACTAAGCAAACATAGATGCAAAAATGATGTTAAAGGTTGGTTAGTTGGCTTAACAAACTCCACCTCATAAGACTCAATACCTTTCAGCCTTTGACATAAAAAATCTTATTTTGAGCATGAACACGTCTGATGTTTGTGTGCAAAATCTTCTTAGCTACTCTCAAGTTTTTCATCTCAAACTTCTATAAAAGTTACCTGAATCGTCTGGTCTTAGTCATGTTTTTAGATGTTACTAATATGTCGTCTACATACAATAATAGGTAGACAAATATACCATCATCTACTTTCTTATACTAAACATATGGATCGTAAGGATTTTAGACATAGCCTTGATAGATGATAACCTAGTCGAATCTATTATACTATTGTCTATGTGTTAGAATAAAAGGGTTAAATTCAAGAGGGGAGGTGAATTAAACTATCACATTTTCAAATAACACTTAGAATGAACATTTATTAGATTAATTAATTTTAAGATTTGGTAGCCTTCTATATAATTTTTCAAGAACAAATAAAGATTGTAGAAACAATAGTAAGAGAGAGGAAAAAAAAAAGAGATCACTTGATATTTTATATTGGTTCATTTTTATCCATGAAATACATCTAATTGCCCACACCAACTAAGCTCACACTAAATCTAGAGTTTATACAAACTAGCAACTTATATAATTTGTCCAAGGAACCAAATCTTGAACCCGACAATAAATTATTCATAATCTAGTGATACCCTATCACCGAGTGACTGATCTTAACCAGTTGGGGAGACCAATTATAAAAAAATTATATGATAATAACTAAAAAATAAGATATTTATTTAAAGTTCCTCCTTCAAAAGGAAGGAGGGAGAGAGACGAACAATGAATTTAAAAGTACAAATTATATAAACAATTGAATACTAATTAATCAATAGAGAGAATATGAAAAGGTGAGAGAAGATGGAAAACTACTTCTAATCTTTCTTATTTAATATATTCATTAGAAATTAGAGAAATAATTAAATACTAATAAAATATTATCGTTAGTAAGAGAGTATAAAAAAGTGAGAGGAGATGAAAATGTCGGATAATAAAATTATTTTTAATTTTTCTTATTTAATTTATTCCTTCATTTTTTTTATATATTTAATTATTTATTTAATATTAGGGGACCAAAATCATAAATATACAAGTAAGTTACAAAATTTTAGGGGATGATGACCCTCTCTTAACTATTATGAACCTCTTGCCTACCACAACAACAAATATAGAAATTCTATTAAAAAATAATGATACAACACAAGCTAAAGTAAAATGATAAAACAAATTCACCTAAAAATACAAGTACATTAAAAGAACAAATCAAGTGTAAGACTTTTTCTTTCTTTTACCCTAAAGAATGATCTTTTTAATCACAACTCCAATAATAGTTTTCCCTAACAAAAACAATTTTTTTCAATATTAAAAATAATATATGAAACTTTAGTTCAAATTATAAGTTGAAATGATTGAGATAAAGAGAGTTATATAATTTTTGAAATAACATTTTTTTTAATTTTAGTATGTTAAGTTCACTTGTAAGTGAAATTAATTAATTAAAACTACAATTTATCATATTAAAATATAATGATTCAAAATTAATAAAATTTTAATCTACTAACAACCAAGCCAACTGAATTAACCACTTCTTGTTGATAAATTCATCATGATTTCATTCAGAGATAGAGAGTATAAATACTGAGAATTTTAGGTATTATTGAGTGGTTGGAACCTCCCAGTCCCACCTAACCAAATCTTAACAGTTAATGGGTTGAGCAAGCGTCTTTTTACCATGAGGAACAGCTTGGTTATCCATCCATTTGTCAAAACATGGTCCCAAGTGCATCCCTAATAGTCCAAAAGAACAAATTGAAGTACAAAATTTATGGCCCTCCAATCTTTATTATAACCACTCACCTCCTTTCTCAATCATTTGTCATTGGTCATTGTTTTTTAGCTTAGTTTAAGCCCTTTTCGATTCATAACATATTACCTCATAATTTATCACGGTGTGGTTTCTAAATTCAAATTCTGTGCGACATAACGCTGAAAATGAAAAGTGTATGGCAATGACATGGTGTTGTCCCGTGGCCCCAAGACAAATTGTTAATTGTTTTTAGGAGTTTCTTACAGTAAAACCAAGTGCATGGGTGGCTTCGTAAGTTGTGCCCGTGCCTTTCGTGCACTTCTTTTGAGAAAAAAAAGCAAAAGAAAAAGAAAAGGTGAACCTAAAATCTTCTTTTGTTGGAAAAACAAGATTCTAACATAATATCGGATAAAGACACGACCGTGAATGAATAATCAACTTTCAACAAAGTCATCAATCGATAAAGTTAAAGTTTATTAGTGGGAGAAAGCTGGTTCTAGTTTAGATGCTGAACTGACTCAACTCATACAAACAGTTAAATTAATCAGCCACTTAAAATTGTTGTAGCAAAATTACTATTTTCACTTCCTTACATCCATGGGTTTACCTTCTCTCTTTCTTGCTTTAATTCCTCTGTTGACATCATTTGCTGTTTGCCAACTTGAAGGTGAGATGCATATACTTTTCAATTCAATTTCAGTTGAAGGAACCATGATTGCTGAAACCTCCTTTTTTAAATTATCATGTCATGTAATGATACAAAACACAATATCTAACTTCTTGACACGCAGAGTTTGTGAGCATTGATTGTGGGGGGTCAAGTAATTACACCGATAACAGCACGGGGTTGGCATGGATCTCAGACTCTGGGATCATGCAACATGGCATTTCTGTGGAAGTGGAAAGTCCAAAGGGAAATATGGTGCAGTACCAAAAGAGGAGAGACTTTCCCACAGACAGCAAGAAGTACTGTTACACACTAAGCACAGAGGAGAGAAGGAGATATTTGGTGAGAGCAACGTTTCAGTATGGAAGCTTGGAGAGCGGAGACACATACCCTCAGTTTCAGCTCTACTTGGATGCAACCAAATGGGCTACTGTATCAATATATGATGCCTCAAGAATATATGTTAAGGAAATGATAATCAGGGCACCCTCAAATTCTATTGATGTCTGCGTGTGCTGTGCTACCACTGGTTCTCCTTTCATTTCCACCCTTGAGTTGCGACCATTGAATCTTTCAATGTATGCCACGGATTTTGAAGACAATTTCTTCTTAGAAGTTGCTGCGAGAATAAATTTTGGTGCTCCGACTGAGGATGCTGTCAGGTGTGAAAGCTACTTCATTTTTTTTTTATTTAGTTTGATTTTGCTTTTGGCACAAAACTGAAAGAAGACCATCCAAACTTTTACCTCAGAGAATAAACATCAGTATAAGTATAAAACCTTATTGCGTTATTAAGGAAAAAATGCAGCATGGTGCGAAGAAAATTCACTAATGCGATGACACATGAATTTGGTTGAATCTTTCTAAACAAATGTATTTCTCAGGTACCCTGATGACCCATATGATAGAATTTGGGATTCTGATCTCATCAGAAGGCAAAACTATCTTGTTGGGGTAGCCCCAGGCACGGAAAGAATTGGCACTACAAAGAACATATATGTAGAGACAAGAGAATATCCACCTGTCAAAGTAATGCAAACTGCAGTTGTTGGCAGAAAAGGAGTACTCAGCTACAGATTGAACCTGGAAGACTTCCCTGCCAATGCTCGAGCATATGCATATTTTGCAGAGATTGAAGATTTGGATAAGAATGAGAGTCGAAAATTCAAATTAAAGCAACCTTATATAGCTGACTATAGCAATGCAGTGGTTAACATTGCTGAGAATGCCAATGGGAGCTACACTTTATATGAACCAAGTTACATGAATGTTACTCTAGAATTTGTTTTATCATTCTCGTTTGTTATTACCCCGGGTTCTACTCGAGGGCCTCTTCTAAATGCATTGGAAATAAGCAAATATGTAGAGATTGCTTCAAAGACAGACAAACAAGACTGTAAGTTCTGAGTGTTGGTTTTTGTGAAATTGAATGGCTGATCCTGATCAAGATAAACTGATTTCTAACCATACTTTCTCTTTGCAGCAACCGTTGTAAATGCATTTCGATTATTGTCTGCTGAAAGTTCCCAGACAAATGAAGGTGATCCTTGTGCTCCAACTCCTTGGGAATGGGTGGATTGTAGTACCACCATAACACCAAGAATTACAAAAATGTAACATCTCCAATCACTTCTGTCGGCAATTTTGTGTCATAGCAAGTGTACTACTATTCTCTAAATCATTATTACTTGACACAAGTTTTTGAATACTTGAGAAATTTGGATTCCAAAATGCATAAAAAAAGTCGAAACAACATAATGGGAAGTAATGTTGTATTAAGTTGAAACTGCCGAACTTTCTACTAATCACAATTGTTTGTATTAGAATTCTTTCAAGAAGGAATGTGAAAGGTGAAATCCCACCTGAGCTTAGCAACATGGAAGCATTGACAGAGTTGTAAGTACACCGATCTTCAAATGCTTCTACTTTTGTTTTTAATGAGATTTCTTTTGTAATTCATTCTGTTTTGATCAGGTGGTTAGATGGCAACCTGCTTACTGGATCATTACCTGACGTGAGCAAACTTATAAATCTAAAGATTGTGTAAGTTCAGTTCATATTGATGACAACTTTAGTTGTTTTTATAAACCCAAAAGCATTCTTTCTATGTCCTCTTTTCTCTTATTTTCCTTTTTTAATTGATGACATGCAGGCATTTAGAGAACAACAAGTTGTCTGGTCGACTACCGTCTTACCTTGGTAGTTTGCCAAGCTTACAAGCACTGTATGTAGCACTTATTTACAAATGTTTCTCATCTCTTATAACATGAAGTACTCTTCCTAGTTAGCCTTACTTTTCTAAGTTGAGCTTAACTTCTATATGCTACTCTCATATGTTTATTATTCACATGGCATCTGTGAGTTTGTGACAGGTTCATACAGAACAACTCATTTAGTGGGGAAATACCTGCTGGATTAATATCTGAAAAAATTGTTTTTATGTAAGTATACTCAGCAACAGAAGTGCAGTTGCTTTAAATACTCACTGATTTGACTTGACAGTGAAATCAGTATGAACATAATACAACAAGGATCTTTTCAACTAGTCTTGTACCAAGATTGAAGTAACATATTTACTTTCTGTTCCAGCTATGAAGGTAATCCTGGACTATACAGAGAGAGCAAGAAGCATTTTAAGATGGTAGTGGGAATTTCAATTGGAGTACTAGTGATCCTGTTAATATTTTTCTTGGTAAGCTTGGGGCTATTGCTTAATACGCGGAGAAAGGCATCTCAAAAGAAACGTGAGGAAGAAGGTTAGCAATTCAATTTAAATCTATTTTGCAAAAACTTGATAACAATCAAACTTCTAACCAAGCATTCTTGTTCGCAGTATGCATTTCTGGACGCACTAATAATAGTAAACCTTTAACTGGATACTCATTTCTTCGGGGTGGAAATTTAATGGATGAAAATACTACTTGCCATATCACACTCAGAGAGTTGAAAGAAGCTACAGACAATTTTTCAAAGAAAATTGGCAAAGGAAGCTTTGGATCTGTCTACTATGGGAAGATGAGAGATGGAAAAGAAATAGCAGTTAAGAGCATGAGTGAATCATCCTGTCATGGGAACCAGCAATTTGTTAATGAGGTAAGTTCAAATTTGTCCCTTCAACATTTTCAAATTTGAATTCTTATTAACAAGTTCAACCTGCATTTCTTATATAGCTAAACGGAACAACAACACATGAAAATCTTAATTTCCAGTTATTTGATTATAGAGTCACGAATGCAGGTGGCCCTCCTATCCAGAATTCATCACAGAAATTTGGTTCCCTTGATTGGATACTGTGAAGAAGAATGTCAGCATATTCTGGTTTACGAGTATATGCACAATGGCACTTTACGGGATCACATTCATGGTTTATAGACTAACCTCACAGCCTCGTGTGCATTTATTTACGTAATAGTAAATTTTTTGTGTCATGACATATATTTCCAATGTTATGACAGAGAGTTCCAAGAAGAAGAACTTAGACTGGTTAGCTCGTCTTCGTATTGCAGAAGATGCAGCTAAAGGTTTATCAACTACTACCTTATGGTTTAACATTTTTGTTAGTTCTTATGTGCTTGTATATTATTTTTTTAATTGCTCATTATAATAGAACATACATTTAGACATGTCACATTCATGCCATAACATGACATACAAGTAGACATATCACATCATATGTCATTTTAAAGTGGTTTCTGAATAACCTAGTATTTTCTTCAGAATTAAAAGAGTTGAGTAACAAATTCGATTTGGTCAGGTGTTGAATACTTACACACAGGATGCAATCCTAGCATCATTCACCGTGATATAAAGACAGGCAATATTCTCCTAGACATAAATATGAGAGCAAAAGTATCAGACTTTGGACTCTCTAGACTAGCAGAAGAAGATTTAACCCATGTATCAAGCATTGCACGAGGAACTGTGGGCTACTTGGATCCTGAGTAAGTCATGGGTCTCATGTGTGTTTGTGTTTTCCCTAGAATGTGTTAAACTCAGTTTGTGTTTATTCTATACAATCACAGATACTATGCAAGTCAGCAATTGACAGAAAAGAGTGACGTGTACAGTTTTGGAGTTGTTCTGTTGGAACTTATATCTGGAAGAAAACCTGTGTCATGTGAAGATTATGGTGCTGAAATGAACATTGTTCACTGGGTATGTTTCCTTTTCATTAACCACAAGATGAAACATTGGCATCAGTAAAACATTGGAACTCTCATATTCGAGTTTACTACATGAAAAAATGACAAAATCCAATGAAAAGTCCTCCATGAGATGAAAGGTGGATGACGAGGTCTGGTGAAAAAAATCCTCTTTAAAATAATAGAATGTAACGAAATCGCAGAGATATAATAATATTATATTATATAGATGAAATCAGTTATTATCTTATTATACAGGTTTAATAGAGATTAATGATATGAGAATCAATTCTAACACTTTTGAGATATGAAAAATCTTCTAGAAATGATTTAGACATGATTGCTTAAACATGAATTTAATTTAATCTCAAATTTGATTGTATAGTATTGGAGTTATATCACATTGTTGAGAGTAATTAATGGTTCCTTGATAAAAGAAATTTTAGGATTTTTGAGTATGTATATATTTTTTTATATGAAAATATGATAAACTATTAAATATTAATAATATCTCGATATAAAATAGAGAGTAAAAATATGATAAAATATTAAATATTAACAATATTTTAACATATAATATTTTTCTTCTTGTAATAATAGATAATAAAATAATATTTTCATAATTTTTTTATTTTAATATTTATCTATTTAAATTTGATATTCTTCTTTTTATTTTGTTTATTATTCTTCCTCATTTTTTGCTTGATATTCTTTATTAATATATTTCTTTTTTATGAGCTTTATTTCTTTTATTTATTGTAAAATCCATGATAATAACATTAAACTTTTGATCAATGACAGATCTTGACCAATAATTTTGGGAGACCAAATAATATATTATTAATAAATAATAAATAAATATAAAAGGGTGAAAGAAGATGAAAGGGTGAGAGGATAAAATTGTAAATGTATAAGTAAATATATTAAATGATAATTAAGTTTTGGGGACAAAATCATAAATTAGATGAGAGTTAGAGTGATTGAGAGAATAAAATTGTAAATATACAAATAAATATATTAAATGATCGCTTTTGATGGAAGGTAGTTTTCAATCTACATATTTACTCTTCTCCCTAACATTAAGTTTCTTCAAGAAAGACCTATCATGTTTTTCATTTGACTTTTCTTTCATATCTTCATTTGTAGTAAGCTCCTCTTTCATCAAATTTAAAGCAAAAAAATTTCCTTTCATGTGAACTTTGAATATTTTCAAATTATATTCATCTTTAATCACACAAAATTTGCACTTAAAAGACACTTTATATTTTTTTGCTACCAATTGTGCAATACTTAGCGAGTTTTAATTAATATCAGGAACATATAAGACTTTAAAAATTAATTTGACACCTAAATGACTTCTAGTTACAAATTATTCTTATATCTTTCACATTCATTTGTTATTGATTGTCAATTTTCACTTTAGAAATATCATATTCTTTGAAAAATTCTCAATCATCACTCTTGTACAACCATTATCTATAAGTCATTTTGTGATTTTACTGATTATAGAACATGTTGCAAAGAGAAACTTCCCTTTCTATTTTATTCTCTATAACATTGACGACTTCTTTTTGTTATGATTTGCATATTTTTTCTATAGGTTCAAATTGACCACATTTATGACATTTCACATCTGGCCTCACCAATACTTGTGTGTGGTTATTTTTCTTGTAATAAGAACAAATATAAAAAACATGTGATTTGTTAGCTTTATAGTTCTTATCCTGGAGGGAACTTTCACCAATATGATATACTAAACAACCTTCAACAATAACATGATTTTCTCTCATCGATCTCTGTTTTCTTATGCTTGTAAAGATATAACACTTCTACCAAAATAATATTATATCTCTTATATTTTCCAACAAAGTAATAGATGTTTCATGGTTCAAGCATAGTTTGCAAAAAAATTTCAACTAGTCTAGAATAAAAAAAATATTTTATCTCACAATTTTATCTTATTAGCATTACCTAACCATTTATTTGAGTATTCTTTAATTGTTTTGTACTCTTCATCTTTGTATCTCAAATTTCTTTATAAGATTTAGAATTTTCAAACCTCAAATCTTCTTGTTTTCTTCATATTATTCTTTCAGATAAATTCTAAATTTCTTTTGATGATTTTGTGGTCATAATTCAGACAGAGTTTATTTGTGAAATGTCAACAAACAAGTATGACATCATGTTTATTTTCCTCATTTTTCTTTCCTTTTGGGTTTTGATTTGGACTATGGTGGAACTTTCAGAGAGAAGATCAATTATTTCTCATAAATCTAGTTTTTCAAGATAGAATTGCATTTTCATAATTCATAAATCATAACTTTCGTTCTCAAAAATAGAATAATAACATGTGAAAAAATTCTATCTCCTTTCATTCTTTTGTAAGAACCAATCCTTTTGATACCACTAATAGAAATTTTAAGGTTGAGAATTTGCTCATACCATCACTTTAGAAAACTAATATTCACTCATTAAGTATCATGAAATATATGTTTACAATTGATATGTAATAATTTAAAACTTATAAAAAATATTATGTATCTATAGTTCATATTTATTTGATTTTTTTATTAAAAATCATATAAATCAAACATAAACATAAAAATTAAATAGATTTTATTTTAATTTAATTTAATATAAAATCTAAATAATAAAATTTTACAATTTGATTTGAATAGATTTAGTGAAAAAATATCAAATAATATTTTTTGTTGTGAATTAAATTGTTATGAATTTTTTTATAATTTTCATATTTATAATTTCACATTCTCACGTTCATAAATAAATTATTTAAACTATAATACAAATTTGTTATTATAGTGTGATGAATATAAATATATTAATACCATTAAAGTATAAAACAATTTCTCATTAATTAACTCAAAACATAGATTTTAAAGTGATGGATGGAAGGAGAAATAAATTTAAAGAATCCAAAATAAAATCCACTTTTATGAGTTTAAAATTTGTTGTTCTCTAATTGAATTTGGATTATATTTTCATTGATTCGATTTTTAACTTTCTAATAATAATTATAGAATGTTAATCATAGAACTATTAACTCTCAAATTGCAGACTTGAATGATAGATAATTCAGCACTTAGATTTTATTAATTTTTGCAGGCTAGATCTTTAACTCGGAAAGGAGATGCAATGAACATCATTTACCCTTCTCTCCATGGGAATGCTAAAACTGAGTCCATTTGGAGGGTGGTTGAAATTGCCATGCAATGTGTAGAACACCATGGTGCCTCAAGGCCAAGGATGCAAGAAATCATTTTGGCTATACAAGATGCTATCAAGATTGAAAAAGGAGCAGAAAATAAGCCAAAATCATCATCATCATCATCGTTTTCTGGTAGTGGCAGCTCAAAGCCACATTCTTCCCGCAAAACTTTACTCACAAGCTTTCTTGAAATTGAGAGCCCTGACCTGTCAAATGGTTGCCTCCCATCTGCAAGATAGATTGGACCCACCTTACCATCATCATCCTTTTAACCACTGTTATTATGCTTACAACAGTTTTGGAACCAATGCGATTGTAATAATCTTCTTATAGAGTTTTTTTTAACATGACCACAATGAGAATACGAAACTTGTTGTATCCCCTTACATGTTTCTACTCCCTTGCTGTGAATGCTAATTTTTTTCAGAACATAAACAACACATGGAAAACTAACATTTTCATTATTTGTTGAAAATATTAAAAAAATAAATTATTTACTTGTAGTATTTCTTAATAATAACCTGGTTATTGTAAACCGAAATGGAAATATATTTTTTTTGTTTATAGATTATTGCATATAAACATATTTGTCTTTGATGGGGTTTATTATGATAAAAAAGGTGCTTTGCCAATGAGATTGGTCTCTCTAAAGTGCACACATCTTTATTATTCATAACAAAAAAAAAAAAAAACAAATAAGTAAGGGTGTTACAAATAAATTAAATTTGACATTTAAAAAATAAAAATATATCGTGATGTGATTGGCGGAAATAATATATATATTCTCCTACATATGCTACGATATTAGAGACATAATTATTGTATTGAAATTAATAGAAATTATATATATGTATATTTTAATTATAGAAATTAATAGACATAATTATGATAATAAAAACGATTTTTTTTTAATTATAGATTAAATTTATTTTTATGAGATTATTATAAATAAAATATTAATAATTCATAGAGTTAAAAAAAAATTAAAGCTTTAGTGATGTATATCAAATGAAGAAAAACATTATATTTTTTTATTTATTTATATAATAATCAATTTAACCGATTTTGATCATTATATTATAAAATAAAATATTATATTATTTCATCTCATGATTGTAAAATATAAACTATTACATTAGATGTTAAAAATTATTATCGGATATCTATTTTAATTAATATATTAATTTGAATAATATATTATCTAATGACAGAGAATCACAGATAAATAAATATTACAATTTTTATTAAAAATATTAATTTTAATATTTAATTAATAAATTAAATAATTTAATGTAATTAAATAATTAATTAATTTTATATAAAATATTATTATATTTTTTATTAGTATTAGAAATAAATAATATATTAACATTTATTTAAAAGTTTTAAGAGCATCTCTAATGAGAGTTGCTACCAAGAGTTGCTTAAAAATAAAAATGAATATTTTATTGTGGGTCCTATATCTAAATTGCTTAAAAATGAAAAAAAATGCTTAAAATTAGAAGAAAGTTGTTTAGATAAGAAACTCTCACGATGTTTTAAGTAACTCAATTGTGAGACCCATAATAAAATATTTAATTTTATTCTTAAACAACTTTAGTTAAAAACTCCCTTTGAAGATGTCATTGAGAAAAAATATATCATTAAGATTTTATTGAAATTATTTAATAAGATTTGACCTTTTTAATTATAAGAAAAATTATTACACTTAGAACCGTTAAATATAAAATAAATAAAAAATGTATAATGGTGATTTTTATTTTGATTTATACTCTTCAGTATATTATAAATATAAAGAAAGACAAAGTTGATCTCCAAATAAAGCAAATATTTCACCTTATCTTTTAGGATTTATTTCTTTAATAATGTTCATTAGCAAATTACTGGCATTAGATAATTGTTATTTGTTTCAAAAATGATTTCAAACGTTATTTTAATTTTTATGTTGAATAAGAGAGGTTTTCACAATTTTTTTAATAATAAAATTTTCTTAATTATCATGAAGATGATTTATACATGAATGATTATATCTAACGAGACATTTGTGTATTATGTGATGTGAATCATAACTCATTGTACATATTATTTTTAGCTTTAAAATAAAAACTGATAATAAAGTAAATAAAACACATTTTTTGTAGTAGGTTTGGTCATATTGGCGAAGAAATAATAAACAAGTTATATAAGAAAAGTTATGGTAATAATTATACTATAAATCATATACACTTTTAAGTAGGGCGGAGCTAGACAGATTTTGAAGAGGACAAGATATAAATATTAAAATAAAATAATTTTTTTAACAATATTAACATAATAAAAGATCATAAGGTTCAAGGGATTAAAAGAACGAGGACTACGTTACAATTTTTTTGGGACATGTCATAGTAAGATGTACATAGAGTAACC